GGCTAGTTTGGAATAGTTTAATGTACTGTCCTAGGTACTCTACATAGTGGCTTCCCTAAATGCAAGCTAAGAATTTAATTCAATGCCAAATTCTGATTAAATTGACATTTAGGATGAAGTTGAAGAACTTGTAGGTAAGCAACTTGCTAGAACTACTGCAGACAATAAAGAAATGCACAATTCTAAGAGGAACCAAAACCTTGAAAACTGACCATATCACAGTTATTGTTTATAAAACTACATTTATTAGTCCTGAATTTGAAAGGGGAATTGAAAGAGTGAGTTTTCTGTATTCTCTCCACCCTCAACAGACTGAATATAATCAGGTGTTAATTTGGATGTGAGAAATGTTTGCAGTTCTGTTTCAAAAAGCATTGTTAAAACTTGATGGGAGCTAATGGCAAGTACAGCCAGCAAGTATTAATAACCCTAGAGACATAGCATAATCAAGTCATAATAGCTGCTTCCAAAGGGATGTTTTTCTCTTGTCTGCAGAGTTCATTTTTTGGCATAGACAGGAGGAGAAAAGAGGTTTTGTCAGCAATAGAAAGAGATATCAGCCTTCCAGGCATGACAGTTGTGTCTGCTTCTAACTTCAAGTGTTGCTCCTTCTCTGCTTCTGGTGACATGTGTCAGATGAACTGATGACAAGTAGTAGGTTTGTGGTAACAAGGAAACGCAGCTTTTTTTAAAAGATCCCAATTTGCTCAAATGTAGATGTATGCTCAATGTGACCCTGGCGTGTAAATGAGTGAAGATAATCATACAAAGGATTAATTCACATGGCGGAGAGCAGTGCTAATTTAGTAATCTTGGTCAGCAGCCTGGAAACACTAAATGGTAAAAAACAGTTTTTAAATGCAAGGTCTTGCTTCGTGTGCAAGTACAAAAGGAGCAGGAAATTTGTAGTTTCTTTGGTTGCCCTAAAGGTCTGGACCTGAGAAGTCTGTCACAGTGCAAATGTATAAAAGTAGGAACAAGAAATTTCTTTATGAGGCTGGATCTGAGAGCTTTCTTATTGTTTGTTGTTTGAGTTTCCTTGATGCTTCCTGAGGCTTGCTATTCTCCTGTAAAAGAAGAGGATTCCCTGTTTTGAAGTCTGCTTCAAATGTCAATTATGGGGTACCAATGAAGACCAAATATGAGAACATCACTGATGAAAAATCAGTGATGAAAAATCAGCTCAGATGAAAAATCATCCTAGATTTTATTGAGATGGATTTTTTTTTTATAAGCATACATTCATATTATGAACATGTATAATGTAATAGAGAAGATAACCTCGTTGGTACCTATAAGAACATACATCATCCCCAATCTGTGTGTGTAGGTGGCCTGTATTCCTCAGTTTCTTCCAGTTTCAGAGGCTAGAGAAAGTTGCTTTTATTACGAGGTAGAAGAATGGGAAAATGAAAATAATTGTATCTAGAAACAACATATCAACTCTAGTTAGTAGCATGAACTTCTCATTGAGTTCTTCAGATGGTTTGATTGTTGTACTACTTGGTGTATGAGAAAATACAAACAAGGCTAATCTCATAACTTAAAGAAACTCAAACACAATCATAAGGGAAATTCTGTGTTGCAAAACAGATTTTATGAGGGAATGATATTAAAGGGAACCTTGTTCATTGCCATGCCTGTGTGCACGGTGCATGAGAAACTGCCTTATATGTTATGGAAAGAGTTGGTCTATGCAGCGGAAAATATTTCGTTATAACTGCACAAGTAAGGGCTAGTCTTTAAATTGTCTCAGGTTCCTTGTATGGAGTAGGTTTGTGCAAAAAACCATATAGATGGTTCTGACAAGTTCCAAGCTGAGTTAGGATAAGTTGCAGAAAGCATAAGGTAATGGACTGTTGTAACATCACACACACACCCCAAAAAAACCACATGATCCTGAACTTGAATTTCTGAACAAAGTCATTTGATTTGTCTTGCTTCAAAGAGAGTTTTTTGTTTGTTTGTTTTTGTTTTTTTTTTTTTAGAACAAATTTGCTCTTTAAGAATGCCCCTCTCCTTGAGGCAAGGACCTCCACCTACACAGTATGTTAACATCTTTGTAAGAATAATACCCCTGAGAGGGGGAAGGATGTTTATTTGAAGATACTAGAAAAGAAGAATATGAACCTGGCAGGGTAGTACTAGAAGCAGGTTAATACTGAGTTATTATTATTCAGTCTTCATCAGTTGGTTATGACAATCTGCTGTGGTGTCTTGCAGGTTAGGAACTGGATTCATACCTCTTCAGCCCTTTCTCTGTTCAGACAAAGAGAAAATGCAAAAATTTATCTGATAATATTGTTTCTTTCTTTCAGGTATGCGGCACCTTCAAGTATATCACTGAAGTCTGAGTGAGCTTAGTATGTAAAGAAGAGCTGTAATAATCAGTACGACATTCTTCTAACAGCAGACTAAAAATGAAAACTAAAAATAAAAACTCCGTGCTGAGGACAAACAGACATTACACAGGGAAGATGAGGGGGTTGTTAAAGTGAATGTAGGACACAGGCACTCAGATAAATAGTTAGATAGGCATAAACAAAGGACAGAAAAAAAAATGGTGCGCTGAGACTTCAACTCCCTCCAAGCTTCTGTATCATCCTTTACTTATGCACCTGAGCAAGCATTTAAGAGTAGATCTGCCAAGTGGAATTTCTTCATTCCCTGCTTCTGTCTTTCACTTTGTGACTTGAGATACGCCCAAGGATATTACCTTATTGCTCAGATCTATCTCAGCGTTAAGAAGATTTGTTTTGAACAAGCATTGAATATTCAGTGCAACACTTTATGGAGGGCTGAACAGTCTGAGAGCTAAACTGCAGTTGTTTGTTCCAGGAAAGGTAAAATCTATCAGTATCAGTGATCAAAAGAGAGGTGGCAGTGCATTTTTTTTAAAAGCTGTCTGGGATGCTAATGAGCAGAATGATGTAGAGGAAAGCAGTGTAATTTGGAATAACATTCTCTCCATTCAAGAAATTATGTCTCTTTGCCCCCACCTTACCTACCTTTTTTTCTTCTTTTTTTTTTTTTTTTTTTTTTTCCCTCTGGTTAACAAAGCACAGATATGAAATAACTCTGGCAGGTATTAGTTGTTGATACTTCTGCAACTTTCTAGGTGGCAAACGCTTCATTATCAGCTCAGTAGCACTGAGGGTCAGCAGGTTGCCAGTTGCTTCCATATAGTAAAAAGAGCTGCTGTGTTAGACTCAAATCTCACGTGAATGCATCTCTACTCAATGGCATCCAGTATTTTTTAAAAAAAACTAGAATAATTGTGTTCTCCACTCACTACAGCTGGAGATTGCACTTCACCCATTTACTATGGCAGAAGAACAAGTTAAGCTCTATGTGATTAACGTATTTTTACAAGTACTGACTGCTGTATCTTACCTTCTTTGAAAATGGTTTTATTATTACATTCATTACTACTAATCTTTTAACTTGTTAATTATATCAAATAGCCTTAGGCCTTAAATATCCTCATTAGAGGGTTTATATGGATGTAGATATCTTACCTACTGCCTCAACAGATATTGTTCTTATGCTTTTATCCATGCTAGCATTGTACAGTACATAATCTCTCACTCTTATTCAATAAATTCTCTCTTGAAAGTTACAGGAAAGTACAAAATGCACAATTTTCCCATTAGAGAATTCCCATCAGCTATTTAGCAAGCAGACAGTTCATCTAGTCACTATTTCCACTGGGACTTGTAATGCACTGTAACTGTTTCTGGATGTGCCCCATATCAGAATACCTGAAAAGTATTCCTTAAGCAACAAAAAAATGCCAAGAACTCCCTGCATGATTTGAGCCTTCATACTCAGAGCAACATTTACAACCAGCAACAAATAGTACCTTTTACTCACAGTTATAACTTCAGCTGCATCAACAAAAAGCATCATTACTTTGAATAATTTCTGCTGCAAAGTGCACAAAATAAGGAAATAATATTGCTGACATACCAAACATGATACTCAGTCTCCTTTTAGCACAGACATCTGGAGTTGTGCCTTTGAACCTACTACAGAAAACGATAAAAATCACTTTAAAAAAAGCCATTTTCTTTCTTTACTAGAAAATTCAGATAATACTGAGAATGTGCAAATTGATTGTTTGATTTTTTTATAATGCAAAACACGCTAGAGGGAAAAAAATAGTTAAAAATTTGCTGATGGCAAAGACAAAGTCTCTTGGCAGAGTAAGAAGGATACTGCAGAAGTTACCTGTTCTGTTTGAGACCTGTGCATCTTCCACAGAGGCTTTTAAGAAGACAGTGAAAAGCAAAAGGGAAAGAACGCAACAGTTTCTAATCTGATGGGTTTTACACTTTAATTTCCTCAGCTGTGCTGTTCCATTTGCCTACAAGAATCAATCACAGCACATTCCTTAAGTACTTTATCCGCAGTCCCACCTCTTCTCTCTAAAACAAACATTGAAATCGCCCCGAATCATCCATATAATGTCTTTAGGACTAGGCTTCTACAGTTACAGAGAAGAAAAAGGAATACTAATTATTCTCCACTGTGTGGAAAAGCTGATGATTTAATTCCATCTGATAGAAAAACATAGCAAATGGTTGTGGTGGTTTTCAGGCTAGGGTTCTGGCACTCAGTGCCTTACTTGCACCTCTCTCTAGAGCTCTTCCCTTTTTCTATCAGGAATTCCTGCTGTCATTGGCCATCCCAACTACGTGGCTTAGTGAAATAGTTTTAAAATATACTATAAGTGAAATGAAATGATGTAAATGAATGCTTACTTAATGAATGCTTACTTAATGAATAAGTGAAATGAAATGATGTAAATGAAATGATTCTTAAAAAGCCTGGAATGATGATTGAACACCTGGTGAAGGATATGGATTGCCTTGGAAGCACAGGTGCAAGCAATTTACCTGTGCTTCCCACCTGATCAGAAGGGGTGGGCCCAGGGTCTAACCCCTCCCTGGGCTCATTTAAGGGCTAGCCTCCAAAGGCAGAATTTTTTTTTTTTTTTATTTTTTTTTTTTTTCATGAAGGTTGCATCCTTGGAAGGAGTGTTCTGTAGCTGAGGATCCTATCACAAGTTAGGTGAGTTAACCTTTTTCTATATGTAATTATTGATTGCTAAACTGTCTTATGTAGCTTTTCTGTTTACCACCTAGAAAGACTACTGTTACTTCATTACTGATTCTGCATTACAGTCATATGCTCTTCTACTGCACCTGAGCAGCAATACATTTTCAGCTGTGAGGATGACAGATCTGTTGGCACCTTGTGTAAAAGTGTTAAGAAGATCCCAGGGGGAATAGAACCTAGCAGGTTAAACAGAACTGAGCAACCCATTAAATACAGTATTTCTGTTGGTGGTAACAGAACACAGGCTTTGTGATGTCTCTAGAAGGCTTCTGGACCAGGTCTTAATAAGCTTACTTTGTCTGGACTCATTCTGGCCTGTCTGGGGTTCTGTTTTAACTTGTTTGCTAAAGCAACAACTGCTGAACAGCTGGGCGACTATTATTGTTAGTTGTTTAGCTTTAGATTTTATTATGTGCTTGTGTAGCAGTATAATAATTTTGATGCCCTTCTGCAAATGACAGGTATCAGTAACAAGCAGTGAACTGTCTATGATATTGCAGTAATGATGTGGTGCATTGGAGTATAGGTGAAGGGTTATAGCAGAAGCCTTGAAAGTATAGGAAATGGAAGATACAGAGACTCTAGGATATAGAGCTAGTGTGCAGGTTTTGATCATTAAAGTAATATAAGTTCCTTAAAACCTTTTTAAGGGTTAAAATAAATATCCAGCATATGTAAAACATAGCATGTTTAGTACATGTGAAAAAATCTTAAGTTACAGATCATGGAAGAAAGAGCAAGGTGTAGTGCTATTAACATAAAGTACCCAGCAAATAGACTCTGAAGGAAGGAAGGAGGAAAAACTCTGCCATCCTTGTAAATGTCCTCCTCTGTTGGTTCTCCTCCTTGTGAGGAGGACTGGTGCATAACAGGGTAAAAGGTAAGTAGGAGTGTGTGTTTAAGTCTGAATGTTGGGGTTTTTACTATAATTTTGAGCCTTTTCAGTAATGAAATTGATGTTTGATTAGAATCTTAAGGTTCTAATGAGACTAACAATACATAATTGACTTCATGTAAAATGTTTGCTTCTGTAGCCTACATAAGGTGTATGTGGTGTCATGTAATGGGAAATATAGAATTCAGAATGGTCTGATCTGACTGGTAGAAATGGATTTAAAGAGACCCAGTGACAGAAGTTCACATATTAGTAAGAGCATCTGTTAATTATCTTAAAAGAAATCTCTGCTTGGGAAATAGTTGAAGAAAATGAGAAGCTGTGTGTCTTAAGAAGAAAGCACATGCTCTTTCCATGTGAAGTATTTTAACTGGTGGTAATCTGTTTTCTACATAAGGGTAGACTCCACTGTCACTATCTTTGTTACTATCGCCATTGTCATTTCTAAGGTATCATGAGGTAGAAGGAATTTTTTAACTGATTATTTAACTTGATAGATGTGTTTGTAGTCTGAGGAATAAAAATGTTTGGTCTGTGAGCAGAGTTGATATTGGTATTACTGAGGTCAGTGGCAGTCTGGGTGAGAGGGACAAGGAGGTGTCACATGGCTTTGCATAGCCATTGGAGTTATGAGTAAGAACAATAAATGTTTTAAAACATTGTCAAATGCAGTGTCAGGTGGGGGCAGTTATACAAGATCACCTTGGGATCCCTTTCAACCCAAACTATTTTACAGTTCTGTTAAGCATTTCAGGAGGAAATGAAGCTCTGAGTAGTATTATATATTTCAACCTATTCACTGACCTATTCTATTGTTAACTATACCTGGTACCTATCTTCAGCTAGTGCTATCTAGACAGAGGTAGAAAAATTACTAGTTTTATTGGTGAGGACACAGAAATGCTCAATAGTATTTCTAATCTGTGGTCTGGAGGAAACTGAGTTGATCTGTGTAGGTCATAATAATATAGGATATTGTATTTCCAGAATAACACTAGAAATATGTGGAAGGACCTGTGCTAAACTTAAGCATTTTTAAATCATCTAGCTAAGATAATTTGCATATAGGATTTTTTAAAGAGCAGATTTAATGTTTCTTCCTATTGGAAGCTGGAAACTTATGAATGAATGCCAGTATTTAGAAAAGGTTGAACAAGAGGGTCTACCATTTTTGTACTCTGATATTGATTAGGGCAAAATTGATGCAAGATTTTTGAAGTCTTAATGAGATTGCTGCTGAAGTGTATCAAATTATGAAAGGCTTTTTCAAATTAACAGTTTGAAACAGTAAGTTTAGATATGTCAGAAAGCATTCATGTCGTTTTGTAAAAGATGTAATCTTACACAGGCTTAATTAATGAAGTAGTAGAAGCCTGATCCCAGGAGGCTGATTTAGTGCTCCTAAAGTAACTGTGTGCAGTCTCAGTACATCAGTAACACAATACGAGCAACTCAGGCACTGTCTGCAGAACCAGAGGCCATCTAGCCGGAGAAGCTAGACAGCAAGAGATATGAAAGGTGTATATAACTTTTAATAAAGGAACCAGTCTCTGTATTTGTGAATTCAGCATTGTGAGACGAGTACTGGATTGTAATTGTGTGTCCTATTGGCATTTGGGATTTCTTGAAGGCTACAGTGTTGCTCAACACATTACCCTGTGGGGGACATGCATCATACTGATGTATACTTTTAAGAACAATAATAAAAATTATACTCTTGACATTGCTTCTGTTGGGGGGATTTGCCACACAGAATTTTGTGTTGCACAAGATCTGAAAAGGGGGATCAGTGTTATATAGCTACTCAGATTCATGCTACTAAGCAGTCTCAGGACTGGATGCTTCTGTCTTGCTTTGCTGATCCTACTTCTCCCATCCACTGCAGCTGAAACACAGCAAGGGCAACACAGCAGCATAAGGTTATAAAGCATTCTGCCCTGCATACAGTACCTTGCAATAGCAAAACAGGTGGGGTGCTGACCCTTAGAAAATTATTTGGAAGTTCTTATTGTCACTGCAGTTGTCTTTTAACCTTGTTGAAGTCAAGCATTTTTTTTTTGTCTTCTTTCTGAACTGCTTTCTGATCATTCTGACAAAGTAGATGCTCTTTGATATCCTGCTCAGTGGTGTGAATTTAGAAGTGTTTCTCTATTCTTTTCTTGCCAAGTTGCTTCACGTGAGGAGCTTTTCCTCCACAGTGCTATTTCCTCTTTAAACTGATTGCTGTACAAGGCTGGCCATGTGCTTATTGTGCCCAGTTAATAAGAGACAAGACGAAAACTCTGGGGAAGAAAAAGCTCACAAGCCATTCTCAGTAGAGCGCTAACAACCAGTGCTGAATTAGACATCAATGTGTTACATTTGATCCTTGTTTTTGTTTTGTTTCCATGCCTTAGAATGTACTACAAAATTTTAGGCGTGAGTTTAAGGGGAATAACCATGCAGTGGTGTCAGAACTAGTGTTCCTGAGCTGGATAGTGGACCAACCCCACATAACTGGCTGATAGATATAGAAAGGTATATCTGTATTTTTTGCAACTGGATTAGCTGTTAAACTTTGCTATTATATGTGAACAGATCAGAACGATTACTTACTGTCTTCTGACAAAGCTCAAATCCAATTCTGTCATAATTGGCTCTAGTTGTCAGGCTGAACATGCAATAAGCAGTGTCCTCTAATACAGCACTGCAAGTATCTTTTTCAGCATCAGAATTTGATTTAAGTCGTAGTTTACAAGGAGCCCCAAGACTGTCTTCCTGTCACTTCTGGAGCTTTCTTTTATCAGGTTGCATTCCTAGAGATCACAATCTGATATCAAGCATTTTCCCATCTATATTGAACATCGGTCTGGATATTTTTTACTTCAGCAGAGAAAATGAATGTCTGCTGTGAATAAATCCAGAGATTTGCTATTTTTTGCTGCTGCTACTTTTTTCTCCTGTTGGCATTACAGGCAGCCAACTATAGTGTCAATATTACTTCTATTGTCTACTGACTGTTGCTGAAAAGAAATTTGCCCTCTCCTTCATGATCACATTGACAGTGGGAAGGGTGTCATCTTTTGTTTTGTCTGAGCTGCTGACTTTTCTAGCTGAAAGACCAGTGGCATCCTGTGGTGACATTAGATGCTACTTGATACCAAATGCTGCTGTGCAATGCTCTAATTTACATTCATGGGAAATTGTTGAAGGCATGTAATTCCATGGCATTTCCATGGTCATTGTATTCTAGTATGGCAATCATTTAAGTCTCAGTTTCAGTCCTTCTGAGAGGCATGGTGTGGCATTTAACTGCATGAAATACCCTTACCAGGCAGTTTTGATTGCACTGTATTGGTAACATAATTATTTAAACCTCTGCCAATTTTTCTAGCAATTATTTTCTATGCTAATTAGATTATTGGTTGAAATAATAAAAATAATTAATCCAAGAAGAGATCTGTGAGATGCTCAAGAATCCTTTCAGTGACAGAAGAAACAAATTTACCTGGTTTTCTAAAGCTCTTAAATCAGTTTTAAATATTCTAGATACATTCCCATATGTATTTAAAGTAGGGGATTAGGTCAGTTACATTACAGAAAAGTAATTTTAATAAGCCATAGACAGCAAATACTATTCAGTGGAAGACAAACCTTGGGGCTAAGCAGGTATTTATAATAGAACAAAGAAGCCTTTGAGATTAAGGAAACTGGTCCTGCTCATTAAGCAGGGACTGAGACAGAGCCTTTGAATTTTAACTTACCTTCACAGGAAGTGACAAAATTACCTTTCTGATGAAAGTGACTGTGTTATTGAAAAGAGTTTCAAGATTGTTGCCTAGATTGAAGATAAGTTAAATTGTTTTCCTTTGTTAATTCTACTTGCGCAAGATTACCGTGTTACTTTGAGCAGAGAGGGACAACTTTTCCCTTTGCCTGGCTGGCAATGCTGGACCTGATGCACTTCATGGTATGTTGGTTCTTTTGTGTGCCTGCTGTTCCCCTTAATTTAGTGTTGTCTGCAAACTTCCATAAGTATGCGTTTTAATCCTGAGTACAGATTATTTGTAGAAACATTAAGGAGAACTGACCATAAAATGTGACCTTGCAGCACTTCACTACCATCAGCTAATCTAATACCACTTACTGTAAATCCTTGAGCCTGACCCATCAACCATTGCTCACCCATAGCATTGTTTTTTTTCTACAGTATCCTGGTCTTTTAATCCAAAAGGATGCTATCAGAAACGGCACTGAAAGCACTGCTGAAATACAAAGGTTACATCTATTGAATTCTATTGGTGGCCTTAGTAGCCTCACCTGCTCCTTTCTATTCAACAAACAGGCATATAGCAGCATTCCTAATGAACACAGCAGCTGTAGTCCTGCTGTCAGGACTTGATTTTTCCAGTGCAGGGAAACAAGAGCATGGAGACAGAAGAAAACTAATCAAACCAATATTTGTACGTACTGTCTGCTTTTTTTTCACCTTGTTTTGATTGTAAAATTCAGCTCAAATAACTATAAAATTGTCTCAATGTTACTCAGATTCTGTGCATGACTGTGTCTATTGCCACTCATGATATTTACTCTTTAAAAAACAGAAATACATAACAGTTAAACAAAAATACAGAATGCATAAATATACTTGAATTCCTTCCCTTTAATGCTGCTGGACAATTCAAGTTTTTGGCTTATGTTTAAGCATACAAGTAGCTTTTTCTGTCTATGGAATAAGTTTTTGTCACCTAGCCTCACTTTGAAAAAGTTCTTTGCATTTCCTATGGAAGAATAAAAGTAATTTCCATATATCCAGCTCTACTTGAACTCCAAAAAGAGTTAGCACACAATGTGTGATCTCTTTGAAATCTGCTAAAAAATCTGCGACTAGCTTTACTGTTAAAAAAAAAAAAAAAAAAAAAAAAAAAAAAAAAAAAGACAAACAAAACTAGGGAATCAAAAGCAAAAGAATATTAATCAGTAAAAATAAAACTAAGTTCAAAATTTGAATTAGTTTCATTGGCTTTTTTCTAATCTAAATGTAGAGAGATGTGAATGCTTTTTCCCCCAGTTACGTATTTTGGTGTGTAGATTGAACAGTTAAAACAAACAAGAAACTTAATTTTTTTCTTTTCTAAAATTTTCTCTCTATGTAATTATTTTATTGCTGATAAACTTTACAATTCATAAATAAGCACATTACTTTTTCAAAGTGTTTTCCTAGAACAGTTTAGATAGCTATGTAAAGCAATTGTGTGGTAAGAAATTTAAAGGCAACATTTTTTATGAAAAGATGGGATTTCTGTATTCTTAATCAGTAATGATCAACTGTTCTTGATTTGAGCACTGATAATTCAATAAAACAACTTTTTATTGTTATTTATTATTATTCTTGTTGATTGATTTACTTTAATTTTTCTTAGCTCCTCTGGTGACCTTTTCTGTGTTTTTGTGTGCTTTTTTCTCTATTCTAACTTAATTCCCTTTTGTTGTGGTCTGTGCCATTGAGTAGATTGTTGGGTTTTTATTGTCTACGGACTTTTCTCTTTGTGCTGTGATTATTTTGCATCTTCTAGGCTAAAATCTGTTGATAGTTCCAATGTTTTCCATTTTTTAAATTTTTCTCCCTTTTTTGTCTAATTTTTTCCATAATGAGAATGATTTGGTACCAGTATGACACTCAAGGAACTATTCTGTATTTACATTTTTCTTTGTACAGGAGGTATGTACTGCTTTTTCTTTTCTCTCCCCTTTTCTGTGTATCTGTGCATACAAATGAGGGAAGCAATATCAAGTGAACTCAGTATGTAATGTACTGGTTACTACATTTCTTTGTATTTGACCATTCTCTTGATTATTTTACGCTTTCTAGTAAATTTGTCATTATCACTGAACAATGCGAGTACCTTCCATAGCTTCTGTATTTCTTTAGGACCCAATTTTATTTTTTGTTCATACGGCACTGGAACTATGTATTGCAACACAAACTTTTTTTATATTCAGCTTGCATGTTTCACACAAGTCACCACCACTTTAACGATCATTGCATTTAAGCTCAATTTCTATAAAAGTAGCATATGCTAAGTAGTTCTTTCTTTTACTGTCAGTCTCATTGCCAAACACTCTAGTTACATCTGGAGAGGCTGCAAGCACTTTATACTAATCTGCTCTGCAAACAGATAGCATCTCCCTTGCATCATTCTGACTCTTTCAGTGGAGAGCAGAAACTGATGCACTCCACTGTGATATGGAAAGATGCTGCGTATAACTTCATTAGAAGCAGCTTCAAGTATTCAAATATAAAACACATTGAAAAAGGCAAAGCACAGGTATAAAAACTAAGAAAAAACACACAATTTTTATCCTATTTTTATCTTATATGACAAGCTACCTCAAGTGAGAAACTTAAATGAATATCATATTCTACTCATTCTTGCTGTGTTCTTGACTTTATTTTTTGTGTACTAAGTTAGTCTTTCCTATCTGGAAATTATATTAAATACATACATCCTGTATGATATTGAAATGAGCTTCTATGAAATAATGTTCACTTAAGCATCTGTTTTTGTGTAATTAGGGTTATTAAGCATCCTAAATTAGTATATTACTGTGGTGAAAATCTACTTACAAATATATATAATGAGTAATCTTTAAGCTTTTATTGTGGAGGGAAAAAACTTAAAGAAGACTCTTCTGGAGAGCGAGAAAGTGGTGTCTGATTTATTTTCTCAGCTGGAAAGAATGTAGTATGGAAATTAATTGTATTACATTAAGTTACCTTATCTTTGAATCTGTTTTACTACAAGAAACAAGGACAAAGGAAAGATAAAGACTTAGTAGCAATTGTCAAAAACTATCTACTCCTGTTGAAAATAACTACTTTGTTTTTAAGTTTGTGAACAATATTATGCCGTATATCATGTAGTAGAGAAGTATTTTCTCACAACAAGCCTTTTTTCCACTGATGTTATCTCTTAGTTATATCACAAGAAAGAAGGTGGATTTACAAGCACCTTTAAAGTGATGGAGTTCTTTTTCTTGAAAGTTTTATTCTAGATAAGTGAAAATTGCTATTTTGTTTCAGGAATAATTGTGTCAAAGACAGAAGAATTTGTAGCAATCTGTCCCCATCCTTTGTCTCTGAATCAATAAAAACATGACACCAGAATCTGTGTAATAAACTGTTATAGCAAGGGACACAGCCATAGGAAGAGAGAATTGATTCTGAGATTCCTGGCACTGTATCTTGAACTAAACATATTTGTGTGGAGCTTAATCATGCTTTTGATTTCCATGTTTCACTGTAGCATTCAGAAATACCATAGTTTTATATCTGTGCACATAGCAGTACATTTGGTAGTACTTAAATAGCCTGTGTAACCTTCTGGAATGTCCAAAATGACTTGGAAACATGCTAATGACTACTGTCACTTACAGCAAAGCCTAAGCAGGTCTAATGAAATTGTTTATCATCTCAGATTTTGCATAGTTTTGTTTTAATATGGAAGCTATAATGTTTTTTTTTGATGATTGGATGTTTTTTCTAACTCTCTACTCTTGAAGATCTCTAAAATGTTTTGGAGATCTACCACTTCTCACAGTAGAAGAGCTACAGTTCTCAAAGCAATAGAAAACCCAATTGAAAATTAATGAAGCTCCTATTGTATAACAGCTGATTTCCAGATATCCACTTGATCCAGAGAGTTGGTAGCATCTGTTTGTCAAGTAATTGACTTCTGAAGAGTTTTCCAGAATGTGCAAACAGAAGATAACGCCTGACTACTTTCCTACCTGCAAGTTGAATCTTTGCTGTTCTCTTCATTGTGCTCCTTTGTGTGAGCATTGTCATTGAATGTCTTCATATACCTCTGAGCAGTTGGCTGTGATCTTGGGGAGAGGATTGGGAGGGGAAAAAGTGTTTGTTTTTTTTTTTTTTTTTTTTTTTTTTTTAATTCCAACCAACTCAGGGAAATAAGAAGCATATGTAGAGAATGCTTTGTTGCTTAGCTGCGGGAAGCTGCCTCATACACACAGTGCAGCTGCTGTCCCTGGTTGCTGTGGCAGTGGCAGTGCAAGATGCTGATCTAAATTATTCTGAGATATATTGAGCAATATTAGCTGTTCTTAATGCTTGAGCAGGCTGAGACAAAATATTCGTGGAAAAGACGTCCATCCCCCTTCACTAGTAGATTGTTCTCCAAGTAGACCCGAATGTTCAAATAAGTGTCAAAATAAGTTTTCTTTAATGGTCTCTGAGCTTCCCTGGAGTGGAAAGAAAAAGATTTTTTTTTTTTTTTTGTGAGTGAGGAAAAAATGTAATGTGGAGAATGTCTTCGTGATTATCCAATGGTCGAAGACAGTAGCAAAGGAAATAACTTCAGCAGTCAAACTACACCAAGTATGAATCGCTGAAGTTAAAGTGCACAATGCAGTATGTACAGCAAACTTTCTGACTGTGAAAATCAGTGGGCTCGATTTAAGTCCAGTGTTTTTGCTGTGAGGAAGCTGGAATGAGTCAGAAAAGACTCTTCCAAAAAAAAAAAAAAGTTAATGCAGGTTATCGCTGATTACAGGGTATTTCACACCCTGTAGCTATTATGTCTTACATTTCCATCCTTGTTTGTTTAAGGTGATCTCTTGTGTTTGTACTGAGAGATTAGCAGGTTAACAGAAATGTTAATGTGAGCTCCAGCAGAGCCCAGAGAAAAAGATGTAAGCTGAGTGTCTGAATATTAGAAACCTATTATCTTGAATTTACAGATATTGAAGGAAGCATCGTTTGTAGCTTGCAAAGAGCTTTGACTAGGCAAGGAGTACTCAGAAGACCAGCATCAACGGAAAGGCTGCTGGGCAGCTAGCCATTTCATTTGCTGTTTCCATCCACCTGCCAAGCTCCTCTCTTCTTCCTGTGCAGAGAAAATGTGTGGAAATGTTCTACTGACATAAATCAGTAATAGTCCTGTACAACCTTTCCTTTTTTTTTTTAATTCCTCCTCTTTTTTTTTTTTTTTTTTTTTTTTTTTTTAAATCTGAGGATAAAAGGCCCAAAATGAGCCAATCCTAAAATACCATTTGTAGTTGGCAGCTGCAGTGAGCTCTGTGGGGAAGTGCAGAATAAACCTGGACTGTAGGAACAATGGAATAGTGGGCTACACACTTGACAAATGTGGTTCATCTATATGCTGTCTTCTCTTTGAATAGATCCCATGAGGTAAGATTTGTTCTAACACTCTGCAAAATTGCATTTTATTTGTCTGTAGTTAATTCAGGGAGCAGTGACCATTGACGCCTCAGCTGTGATTTATAGAAGCTTTTAAGTATTTTGATGCTATGAACAGAATGTGAACTAATTGATGTAACTTCTCAAAATAAAACAAAAACCAGTTACAGACTGCAGGGAATGATTTTCATGAGAAAGTAGAATCATGGTGCTGCTATGACTTAAGTTCCTGGCTTCACCAAAATTGCCTTTGAATTTTCAGGAAAGTAGTCATATATAATTCTAGTTTGCCTTTCTTTAGCTGATGAACAGCAAATTTTCAAAAAGAAGAATGTTGTATCCCTTGTATGGTATGCTTTTAAGTGAAACAGGAGCTGCTGCTTTTCCCTTGGTTACTTCCTTCCAAAGGATCCATCTGGAAAGAAGTGTCAGACAGCACTGATCAATTTCAATGTTTTGAAAGTATTTTCCAGGAAAAAGGATGCAGCATGGGGAGCTTTTCAGAGTGCAAGCTGTACATTATTTCTAGATTCAAGTATTATTTTTTTTAGAACCAAAGGGGAACACTGGAGGCTGCTCCTTTTGTTTAGTATCTATAAACTAATAATTGAATCATAGACTCAGCAGTTCTCTCTCCTTTATCTTCTTTTCTTTTGTATATCCACCCAGATTAAGTCATTTGTTTGTTGCAGGTGTAATTTCTAGTTGTCTGAGCATTATTCTTCATAACAGAGTATTTCAAGTGAGACCCCTCCCAAAAGCTGGGAAGGGTGGAAAGTGTACATCACATGTCCTGCAGTATATGGTTATGTTTATGTGACTCTCAGTGGGATTTTTCTCCAGACCAGATGTCCCATCCACTAATCCAGAAGTAACACCTCTCAAATGGTGCTGACAATCTTCATCATGCAAATTTACATTTGTCATATTCATTATATTAGTGATTTGATAGAATATCCTTCACATCCCATGTTCACTTGGGCTGGGAATAGATTGCAGCTTCTGCACTGGTGTCCAAAGAGGATCAATATTCACAAAGCAGTATGAGAAAATGTCTTAGCGTGCCTTCCTTTTGCTGTATATTGTCTATAAACACTGCTCTCCTCCATTTCTTCACTGGGTACAGGTTTCCTACAAGTCTTTCACAGAAAGTAAAATAATTC